GGATATTGTTCCTTTTGGATTGGTCACCCAGTTCTCTTAATATTGTTTCATTTCTGGATATCCTTTTATCTGTCTCTGCACCAGTTTCTATGCATTCTTGTTCTCTGGTTTCTAGTCCATTAATGGCCTCGTGCATCCCATCCATTCTGCTTTTAAGTCCTTCCAGAGATTGTTTTATTTCTGTACTCTCCCTCTGTACTTCCTCCTTTAGCTCTTGCATATTTCTCTGCTGATCTATCAGCATGTTTATGATTTTTATTTTGAATTCTTTTTCAGGGAGACTGGTTAGTTCTGTCTCTGCAGATCCTCTCTCAGGGGTTGTCTGGGCTATTTTGGACTGGACTACATTTTTATGCCTTTTCATGGTGATTGTGGTGGCTGTAGGCTGGTTGCGGGTGTGTCAGCTGGGAGAAGAAAGTCCTTTCCTGCTTGCTGGATGCCTTGCCCTTCTCCACTGTCTGTTGGTTACCCGCACTCCTGGAGCAGCTACCGGGTTAATCCCCTAAGCTACTGTGGGCAGGGTCTCTGTCAGAGTAGCCCTGAGCTCTGCATGGAGTGTCAGGCAGGCCAGGCGTACTCCTCCATGATAATGGTGCCCCTGCTAGGCAGTTGTGTGCCTGCCAGCAGTGGCCTGTGGGTCTGGCCCGGGCGGCTGTGCGTTGGAGTTGGATTCCGATTGGCTGCTGGGAGTGCGGCTGCTCCTTCTGGTACTGCTGCAGGTGTGCGCAGGCCTCTCCTGGGCCCCTGGGGCGCCATGGCCGCCGGTGCACACAGGCCACTCCTGGGTTGCTCAGTTGCCGCCGCGGAGGGCTTTCACAGGTCAATCCCGGTCTCCTCTGGCGCCGCCACCCCCGGCACACGCTGGCACTCTCCACTAGTGGGCTTGTGTGTTGGGGTCCACGCCGGTTGGGGGAATGACTGGCAGGCTGCTTTGTGCTGTGAGGGGCTTCGGAGCTGCGCTGCCACCCAGGGGGTTAGGGCGCCTAAAGTTCCCCGGGATAAACCAGCTGCTGGCTAAGTGTGCTGGGGCGACTTCATCCAGCTGTGGGGTCCCTGTGTCTTTAAGACTTGCAAAAAGCACTCACTTTTCTTTTGTCCCAGGGGCGTCGGTTGCAGGGACCTACCTGCAGGTTTTGCTTTTCCGTTTCTCTAGTATCCAGCATGCTGTGCACCTTGTGTCGGCACTCCCGGTGTGGATTTCTAGAGCTGGTTGTTCAGCAGTCCTGGGCTTTCACTCCATCCCCATTCCGACTCCTTTCTTCTCTCCGGGTTCTGGGGTAGGGGGGTGTTCGGGTCCCACCTGGCCGCGGCTTGTGTCTTACCCCCTTCGTGTGATGTTGAGTTCTCGCAGATGTAGATGTATCCTGCCTGTTGTACTGTATCCACTGGTGTCTCTTTTAGGAATAGTTGTATTTATTGTATTTTCATAAAAATCTATGTTTTTGGGAGGAGATTTCCACTGAACTACTCACGCCGCCATCTTGGCTCCACCCCCTCTTCTTTTTTAATATTCTTTAACATAAATCTCTGGATGGGGTAGGGCAATTATCTACTTGACTGAATTTATTTTCATCCTTGGCTACTCAGACAACTTATTAAAGAATTTCAGTTTAATAGAACAAATAAATGAGAAAAATATAAGGTTAAAATGAAATTGAATTCAATAAAAGAGAAGGTTTGACCATATTTTTAACATATGGAATGATATAGTTTATATATAAAAACTACTGCACTTGAAGCTGCGCATCAACATGATCCATTCACAGGAAGGGAGTAATAATTAATGAGCAGGAATGATATGTATTAGGTCTGAATTTCATATTAATAACTACATTTTTAAAATTAATATTATTACTTATTGTTGCTAAACAGACTTGCAGGCTTTTATATTTTCTCAATATTACAAATATTGTATCAAAAAGCTTTATTATTCTATTATACAAGTGGTTCTTGCCTTTGTCTTTGGATATGTCTACTGCATTTTTATTAACTAGTTAAGGAATGTGTACCCTTTAATTAAACTTGAAAAATATTTTAGTATCCAAATGCTTAATATTTTAAAAAAGCATGTCTCAATTTCTTATAATGCATGTACATTTACATTGCCTTGTTCCATACTATTTCTGCGACTTCCTTTTACTTCCCCTTTAGCAAAAGCCTCCCTTGTCAAATCCTAGCCAAGAATAAAAAAGACCATAGTCATAATAAAGAGCTCTCTAATTTCCATGGCAAAAGATGAAGTTAAAAAAAGATTCTATTTAAAAATACAAGAAAAAGATCATCCATCATGATCAAGTGGAATTGATCCCATGGTTGCAAGGATAGTACAACATTAAAAAATCCATCAACATCATCCACCACATCAACAAAAAGAAGGACAAAAATGACATGGTCATCTCCATAGATGCTGAAAAAGCATTCGACAAAATTCAACATCCATTCATGATAAAAACTCTCAACAAAATGGGTATAGAGGGCAAGTACCTCAACATAATACGACATAATAAAGGCCATATTATACTTATGGTGAACATTATACTTAACAGCGAGAAGCTGAAAGCTTTTCCTTTAAGATCGGTAACAAGACAGGGATGCCCACTCTCCCCACTTTTATTCAACATAGTTCTGGAGGTCCTAGCCACGAGAATCAGAGAACACAGAGAAATAAAAGGCATCCAGATTGGCAAGGAAGAAGTCAAACTGTCCCTGTTTGCAAATGACATGATATTGTACATAAAAAATCCTAAAGAATCCACTCCGAAACTACTAGAACTAAAAATCTGAATTCAGCAAAGTTGCAGGATACAAAATTAATACACAGAAATACGTTGTATTCCTATACATTATCGATGAACTAGCAGAAAGAGAAATCAGGAAAACAATTTCATTCACAATTTTATCAAAAAGAATAAAATACCTAGGAATAAACCTAACCAAGGAAGTGAAAGACCTATACCCTGAAAACTACAAGACACTCTTAAGAGAAATTAAAGAGGACACTAATAAATGGAAATTCATCCCATGCTCTTGGGTAGGAAGAATTAATATTGTCAAACTGGCCATCCTGCCTAAGGCAATCTATAGATTCAATGCAATTCCTATCAAAACACCTACAGCATTCTTCAGTGAACTAGAGCAAATAGTTCTAAAATTCATATGAAACAACAAAAAACCCTGAATAGCTAAAGCAATCCTGAGAAGGAAGAATAAAGCAGGGGGAATTACGGTCCCTGACTTCAAGCTCTACTACAAAGCCACAGTAATCAAGACAATTCGGTACTGGCACAAGGACAGACCCATAGAACAGTGGAACAGAACAGAGAGTCCAGATATGAACCCAAGCACATATGGTCAATTAATATACGATAAAGGAGCCATGGATATATAATGGGGAAATGATAGCCTCTTCAACAGCTGGTGTTGGGAAAACTGGGAAGCTACATGTAAGAGAATAAAACTGGATTACTGTCTAACCCCATACACAAAAGTAAACTCAAAAGGGATCAAAGACCTGAATGTAAGTCATGAAACCATAAAACTCTTAGAAAAAAACATAGGCAAAAATCTCTTGGATGTAAACATGAGCAACTTCTTTATGAACATATCTCTCTGGGTAAGGGAAAGAAAAGCAAAAATGAACAAATGAGACTGTATCAAACTAAAAAGTTTCTGTACAGCAAAGGCACCATCAGTAGAAAAAAAAGACATCCTAGAGTATGGGAGAATATATTCATAAGTGACATATCCGACAAGGGGTTGACATCCAAATTATATAAAGGGCTCATGCACCTGAACAAACAAAAAGCAAATAATCCAATTAAAAAATGGGGAGAGGAGCTGAATAGACAGTTATCTAAAGAAAAAATTCAGATGGCCAACAGACACATGAAAAGATGCTCCACATCACTAATCATCAGAGAAATGCAAATTAAAACCACAATGAGATATTACCTCATGCCAGTTATGATGGCCAACATCCAAAAGACAAACAACAACAAATGTTGGCAAGTATGTGGAAAACGGGAACCCTCCTACACTGCAGGTGTGAATGTAAACTAGTTCAACCATTGTGGAAAACAGTATGGAGGTTCTTTAAAAAACTAAAAATAGAAACACCCTTTGATCCAGGAATTCCACTTCTAGGAATTTACCCTAAGAATGCAGCAGCCCAGTTTGAAAAAGGCATATGCACCCCTATGTTTATCGCAGCACTATTTACAATAGCCCAGAAATGGAAGCAACTTAAGTGTCCATCAGTAGATGAATGGATAAAGAAGATGTGGTACATATACACAACGGAATTATTATTCAGTCATAAAAAGAAAACAATCCTACCATTTGCAACAACATGGATGGAGCTAGAGGGTATTATGCTCAGTGAAATAAGCCAGGCGGAGAAAGACAAGAATCAAATGATTTCACTCATCTGTGGAGTATAAGATCAAAGAAAAAACTGAAAAACAAAACAGCAGCAGACTCACAGAACCCAAGAATGGACTAACAGTTACCAAAGGGAAAGGGACTGGGGAGGATGGGTGGGAAGGGAGGGATAAGGGGAATAAGGGGCATTACAATTAGCACACATAATGTAGTGCGGGGGTGACACAGAAAAGGCAGTATATACAGAGAAGACAAGTAGTGATTCTACAGTGTCTGACTGTAATGGGGTATGTGGGGGGACTTGATAATAGGGGGAGTCTAGTAACCATAATGTTGTTCAAGTAATTTTACATTAACAATAACCAAAAGAAAAAAAGTTTCTAATTTCTTGGCAGGGTTAAGTGACAAGGGAAATGATTACCCAGGAAAAACATAATCTAAAATCACAGATGCAGGTGAATGAAGATGGTATTTGTTTTAATTGTCCATGACAACGTTAAATTCCTTTCTCAGTTTCTTCATTTTCAACAAAATGCTAATTTTCAGAAATATTTATTTTTAATTCAGAAGAGGGTACAAGAATATCGACTTTTAATGTTAACAAATACGTAATCTCTTACCTTAGTGACTTTTCTGGATTCAGATTCATTTTCAGATTCTGATTCTGATTCAGAATCTGAAGAAGTTTCTTCTACTGAACTAGATTCATCACTGGAAGAATCTGAAGTTTTAGGCTTTTCATTTTCCTTCCTTCCATCTTCAGAATCTCTATGTATAATAATAAGTTTTGAAATATCAACTTCATATCTTTTACATAAACAGGTTTAATAAGTTTAAAAAAATCAAATGGGAAATATTCCAATTTGTTCACTGTACCTATAAATCTGAACCTTTACCATACAAGTATACTTTACTGAGAACTATTTCTCTTTAGTATATGTATTTTTTAAAAGTCTTCAAAATTCTGGAGCATATTAATGAAATAATAAAAGTAGCATTATCTATAACCAAATAAGTAAGAACCTATTTAAAACCAATTATATCATCCCACACACACTCCAATGCAAAAGGTCATAAAATAACACTAAAGGATATTATAAGTAGAAGATAATTAATAATTAAATGTTTGATTTACCAGGAATATATATTAGGTATTAACAGTAACAATTTCAAAGATAACTTAGGCTGATTTTAAAATGCCATCTTAAAATACTAACTATACATTAATAAATTTAAATATTTGTACATCTTTCTTTGCTACAATAGACTTGCATTTTATAGTCTTTTTATTCCAAGAAAATTACTTATATTTGTTCCCAAATGTGATCCTTACGCAGATGAATGTTAACCAGTTCAAGAGAATTCTTCTAATGTACTAAGTTTAAGTAAAAAATGTAAGTAATCAAACATAAACTTAGAAAATACCAAATAATCAAACCTAAGTATTGATGCTACTCACTCATTTGTTCACTCACTCACTCATTTAACCACTATTTTTTGATTGCCCACCATGTGTTGGTACTATGCTAGGTGCTATGGATAATAATGGCTAATGAGATATAAATGACCTCCATGTGTCTCCCTTAGAGAGTCTATGTTCCATTGGAGGACACAGGAAAGAAAGGTGCCAGTGACAATAAACTTTGTCAAGTAATAAGTAATAAAGTCTAGTGTGTCATGAGAACATCTGGAAGAGCATCTAAATAAACATAACCAAGATAGGGAATGCTTCCTAGAGGAAGAGACACAAAGTTGAGAAAATAGGCTTATGGCAGGCAGATGGGTAGGGCAGTAGTTTCTCCAAGGAGAAAGAATAACAAGTGAGATAGCTAAAAGGTCTTCTCTTAGGGGTAGAGGACCCCATACCAATTACCTAATTTAGATGTTCTAACATATTCTTACCTGGTGCATTACTACCTTAAAAAATTCAGAAAAGTTAAGTAGCTTGCTCAAGGACATATAGCGAGGAGGGGCACATCTGGAATTTGAACTCAAGTCTGACTTACTCTAAAGACAGTATTTTTCCTGCTATACCATACTATCTCCCTTCAAATGAGAATACTCTGGAATGTGAAATTCAAATTTAGTCTTAAATAGTTATAATTACTAGAGAGTGGTTTTGAAGATAAAGCTCCCCTGCTTTAAAAAATTATCATTCAGTTATATTGCCAAAGTCTGAAAAAATTCTAAGAGACAGGCAGAAAAACACGGAGGGTAGGAGAATGGTTATTAGGCAAGGGAAGAATCGATATTTACTAGAATTGATTTTCGTGGAGGAAATATGACTGTTTATTAAAAGTGGAGTTATGGTAACATCTCAGAGCACATGTAATTGTATTTGATGACTAAAAAATATGTTTTTATCCCCCCCAGCAAAGAATGGCAATTTATTATCCCCAATTCAATGTCTTAAACATGTAGTAAAAAAGTAAGGTTTAGAATCTGTCTGAGATTCCCTCTGGTGTACTAAACAATTTTTAAAAATTCAAACATGGGTAAAGAGAATAGTCCATTTCTGAAGAAAAAAATTATGAAACTAATAAAATACATGATTACAAATTCATTGCTATCTGAAAAGATATTTAGTGCACTGAACAAAACTTTCCCTTCCTAGAAATAAGACATTTTTTATAAACTATGTAAACATGATATTAAACCTCAAGTATAGAATTTCTCTCAAAGAAAAAGCTATTATAAACCAAGTAACTCTTTTGCTGCAACAAGTGAATGACTGTGAATATATTTAACTTCTAGCTTTTAAAATAAAAATTTAAAGGTAAAAGTGTTATTTTGTTATGCAGCACTCAATTTTGATAGGTAATTATTGTTTACCTTACTGCTTAGAGTTTCAGATGTTAATCTAATGAAAAGAATTTACTGGTAACTAGCTTTTTAACTTTGCAATGATGAAAAGCCTGTATTAATTTAACCTACAGATTTCATTTGTTCTGAACAGGAAAAACAATATAAATCACTTTTAAAATCATTAAATCCTGACTTAAATTAATAAAGTCATAATTAGGGCATTATGCTGTGTTTGTTATGGAAGTGGCAGGGCGAGCTGCTTTAATTACTGTCTGTAATAAAAGGAGCAGAGAGCGTACTGCGTCCCAATCAGTGCTGTCAGCCACGGCTGAGCTGGGCTGCAAGCTCATCAAGTGAGCGGGCAGCAGGCTCCCAGGGAAAGGGCCATGATGTCTGCAGAGGCCACTCACTGACAGCAGTGGGGAAAACAGACATATAATCCAAGATATTAGCCCCAATTATTCAAAATTTTAATGACACTTTAATACATGATAATGTTGTTGGTAATGGGAGATCTTAAAAAGAGCTAACACTTAAATATCTTATGACCGTCTTCCTTCACAGCCCCTGATTCTAATATTTGGATCATAATCTTTTTAATATAACATTATTTAGAAAAATCAATTGTCTTACATAATGGCAAAGTGTTGAAGGATTTAATTTTAGCCCTCAGCAAAACTGCTACAAAAGGTAATTAAGTGTTTCATACCTACTGCTTGACCACTTAACTCAGCCCTCCAAGGTTATACCAATTTTCAAAATGTAACCCTAAGATATGTTCAAGTTCAAAATGAAAACTAAGCATTATAAGGAGTAGAATGATATGAACTAGTGTCTTAAATTAATTTTACAAAATGTAATGTCTGTTCTAGGAAAAATACACACAATTATTTTCTCACTCAATGAATTAAAGAGAAATGTTAGCCTGGGGCAAAATATCACAGAATACTTTTTGAAGGAAATTCTGGTAAAATAATTTACCTTGTTCCTTTGGTTCTGGAGTTGCTCTCGGCTGTTTGTCTATTTTCTCCTCCTGACTCACTCCCACTCCCACTCTCACTCTCAGGCTCACTGGAAGAGTCCTCACTGCCAGCATCACTATTCTCCCCTTCCTCGTCTTGTTCTCCACTCTGACTTCCAGACTCACTCTCTGAAAAGATATAACCAGATTTATAGCCAATTTAATTATACAGATACAAGTAACTGTTAATATTCATCAAATGAAGCTACATGCTGAATTTTAGTTTACTGGACCCTACTGGTTCAACATTTTCTATTTCCATACTCCAACCATTCAGACCCCTGGAATCCTGCAGCACAGTGAGCATGGAGGGACCCCAAACGACAGAGCAGGTCCTCTGTTAATGAGTAGGAAAAGGCAAAGGAAAGATAAAGCAAGTAAACCAAATCTGGGAGAATCTCACTTTCAAACCCCAAGTATCTAGCTATGGCAAGAACCTTTTAAAAAAAGAATGACATAAAGATGCTGTATGGATAAAGAAATAATTTTTACTTCCTCTACTGTTCATGGGAAATTTTATTTAGAGAAGGCAACAGGTGAATCTTTTCAGGAACAAATTTTGGAGGGAAAGGAGGTATTCAAACCATCTCCAAAAATTTCTAAATTCAAAAGGCAATAAGCAAAATTTCTAATTAGAAAGTTCTTACTTATTTTAGCTAGGAGAAAAGTTTTCCATAAGTCAAAGAGATATAAAGTTAGTTGAGGAGCTATATATTTAAATATTTTATTATAAATTATGGTATTCTAGGACTCTTTTCAGAAGTGATACATACAGCATATTTATATGTATTTTAAACATGAGGTATAATATTTTACTATTTGAAGTGATTATAGGTGCCAAGTTGTATGCTACATAAGAGGCCAAACTGTTGCCCCTGCCTATGATCTGATGAAGTACCCTTATGCAGGAACATACCCTCTAATTAGAATATTTTCCAATAGGTAAATAATATCTGCTTTTTGAGGACTGATTTGATTGATAACACACACTAAAAACTAGGAGTGCATAATATATTCTTTTGAATAGTGTGTAGTGGTTAAAAGCAGGGGTTCTAAGGTTGAAATGTCTTGGTTCAAATCCTGGCTCTGCCACTTACCAGTCTTAAGACTGAGCAAGCCTCTCTGGATCTCAGTTTCCTTTTCAGGGAATGAGGTTAATAGCTACTTTACAGAGCTATGGTGAAGACTAAATGATTTGAAATATGTAAAGACGATTAGGACACAAGAGTGCCTGCCACATGGTAAGGTACTCAGTATCATCATCTTTTACAAAAAGAAAAATTTATCTTACCCTAATTTTACAAAGATAACATAAAACTACTGAATAAGGATATTTTGAATTTGCTATAACACTGAAGTTGTGAACATATGTATTAACTCAGATTACTGGCTTGCAGTATAAATAATGAAAAGAAATCATAGCATCTAAGTTATGCTCTCACATTAATTACATGGAAGCTCAACATGAATATGGGTCCATTTCACTTCAGACACCATTATCTAAATTTTTAAGTTAATAAAATCCTTGAGAAAATTTGTTTACTCTCAAAAAGACTTGCTCACTGGGAAAATAATCTCATAACCTCTAATGGAAGTTATTTTTTTCCCTCTGGTTGCTCGAGTGGACCTGCTGCACATGACTTGCCACTATATGTATTCAGATACACTCATGATAAGTCTTAATGTTAATGGAATATTTCAAATATGTATTGAAAAAAGGTTAGCCTATGAACAGGCATGAGCTTGTAAAGAAATGGGATATTTTTTCACATACCCACATGGTACACTCTTAACCCTACAAATAGATCTTTCCCAATGGTTTACATCATCCCTGCAATTCCCTATTTTTTAGCATTAACTCTATAGATTGAAGTATTTTCTCCATTTTTCAGCTTATTATTTCAGAAGGTAATGTATCACAGATTAATTTATCACAACTGAAAACAAAGGCTTTGACAGAGAAACAGAGGAAATAATGAATGAATTACCTGAGACAAAGGTAATGCATTACTAAGTAATAGTTAAGGGACCTGGTTCCCTAAGGAATGAATAAAGGTTTTAGAAGGAGTTGTTATTTGATCCTGGGTCAGATATGTCTATTAGGTTAATTGTTAATAAGAGTCTTAGAAAGTAAAATGTATTTTTCATTATGCAAATCACAGAATTACAGTATTGAGGGGACTTAAAAAACATCTAACTCTACCTATTCATTTATAAGGTATAAAGGTAAGTGCTGTATTGAAATTGTATAGCTAAAACCCAGGACTTCAAAATCCTTCCTACTTCGTGTCCTTTTCATTGTATTTGGTTTTCCCCATCTCTTTAGCTTTTTGTTTCTTTATAATACACAAAATATTTATTAGCTTTAGTTTTCTCTCTATACAGGTTCATGTAGAAATAGAAGAGTATAAAAAATGGGTGAGGAACAGATTGCTTATGTTTAAAATAAACACTGCATTTTTACAAAAGTAAGTTACTTTTAAAGGCCCCACTAAAGGCTGATCAAATGTAAAATCATGTTTTTCAATATGCTAATGAATATAACAAGCAGCGTGGGTTAGAATTCAGAAGAGCATGAGTTTCTGATTCAACACTATCATTTATTAGCTATGTGTCCAAGAGCTAGTATCAAATGAGAAGGGATTGGAAATTACTTTCAAAACTACACAGTGATGTGTAAATGAAAGAAACTATGGTAATAGTACACATGTTATTTAAACCCACTTGTCAAATGTTATGTACTAGGCCTTAGTGTTTTGCTGGAGGCACAGCACACCAGCTATAGTGAACAAAGTTTTTCAATAAATTATAAACCCTACCACTATCACTGCTGCTATCAGAAGAGTCTTCTTCTTCCTCAGATTCAGAATAAAATTTTTCAGCAGGATTCTCTTTCTTTGCTTTTCCTGCTGGAATCCATTCTTTTGCCTGTTTAAAAAAAAAAAAAAGTATAAATAGAAATGAACTCTCATTAAGGGATTCAGTCTTCTGGCAGACTTAGTCATTCAGAATGCACTGTGAACCCAGAACAAAGTTTTAGGCCTCAGCAAAGAAGGTAAACGTTAGAAGTCCTGGCATTAGGGCTGATTCCTTTTTACTCCTAAATAGAGGAACATAAATTATCACTGATTCTGTTAAATAAAACAACTTTATTTTACATATACCTGCTAGAATGTCAGTTTCTGCAAAGCGAGGATTTTTTAATGTTTTGTACACTCATGTATCTCACATATGTCTGGCACAATAATTGTCAGTTGTGTGAAAAGCCCCTTAAAGACGTTAATACAGTGTGAATGTAAATTACTTTCACAACTGTGACCTTCATTCATCAAAAAAATTAAATTATGTTTCATGTACTCGCTTAAAAGGCAAGAAAATGTGTATTCTTTAAAAGGTTAAAAATGGTTAAAACTCGATTATCACACTTTTAATTGAGTTTCTACTATGTACCAGTCTGCTAGAATATACATTTTGTTGTAAAAGAATTTACAGCACGACAGAGGTTGTTATTCAAGAATGGTTCTCAACACAGGATGCACGTTAGAATCAACTGAGAATATTTTTAAAAATACAAAGAGAAACAATAAAAATACTAATACTAAAAAAACTAATGCCTGGGAGTCACCTCTTAAAATTCTGACTTGATTGGTCTGGGGCAGGTCTGACATAGATTTGTTTTGTTTAAACATCTCTATGTGATTAAAATGTGCAGCTAGGGTTGAAAACCACTGATCTAGAAGGCTTTAGGGCTTAAGTTATGTTGCTTAAAAAGATAAGCTTCAGTAACTTGGAAAATTACTATATGGACAATAATAGAAAAATGAGTAAAAATTACTTGAATATATTTGAATAGAATACTTACATAATATCAGCACAACTGCCTTATATATATATGTACATATATATACACACATATATATTTTATATGTTCTATCCTTCAAATATGAATAAAGATATTATCTTATAAGCAAAGTTCTCCTACATTTAGTAAACACTGAAGTTCATATTTTTCTTAAATCCAAAGAATCATATTTTTCTGAAGTCTGGTAAAATGTATATTGGATCAATTTATGGGAAAAATTACTTAGTTAGACTATGGCTTACTTAAATAGACTAAAATAAACAAATAAGGAAAATTAGGTTTCTATGTCCAAAGGGGCCAATTATCTTGACATGGCCACGGACTCTCCATTCATGGAGTTTTGGGGTTTGGGACAATAAAAATATTATTATTTTTGTTATGTCTTTTTATGACTATGATAATTATATCATTCTAAGCAAAAGAAATACCAGGGAAAAGAAAAGAGGAAAAGAGTAGTGAGACACTAATTTCAAAGTTCCTCTGACAGATAAAATACTGAAAATAGATATTTTTATAAAGCACATACCCTTGATATGCTGAAGACAGGCTTTCTGTAACTGAGGAGAAAAGGATTTTCTAGAACTGAACACAAAAAAATTCTAAAACATCTTCAAAACTGACTGGTATCATAATAGAAATATACATTACATCTGATATCCTGGAAATGGTAGTATGTAAGTCCAAGTGACTTCTAGGGTAAATATGACTAGGTCCCCTGTTATTTTATTTAAAATATCAGATTACCTAAACCTAGGCCATTTTTTTTTTTTTACTAAGTTATATTTCACAGAAATGAGATGTGACCCTATAAGATCACTACATAGTGCAACTAGGATAACACAGTGCATGAAATACACTGGTGTGACCGCAGAGGGGGTGAGGAGAGAGTAAAGGCAAGAAAGGCTGTAGGAACACCATTTTCTGCATTGTTGCAGCTGCATTAGAAAATAAGACTATGTACACTATTTTTATATTAAAGTGTGTCTTACAGTATAATTTTAAACCAATATGTCCTGAGACCAAGGTTGAAACTGTTTTCTTCATGACATCAACGAACAGTGACAGTTAGCTTCAACCAGGTTCCATCATTTATAATTACTCTTCATAATAAGTTACCAATTATTAATTTCAAGAATGTAGCTAGCAAAATGAAAAATAAATCAATTTGTCTCTGTTGAACTGGGCAGGTGAAATTAACATAAGAAAATAAGACTATTTAAGTACTGTCCCTATAAGGTAGTTAATGCTTAGAAGAGCACATGAAAATGGAAGCCAGCCAACCAACCAATCTATCAGCCCATATAAGGATACCGCTGAGACAAAATTAAATTGCATAGCATTGCCATCAATTTCTGAGAAGATAAACTATTTTTATTTTTATTTTTTTTGGTGGAGTGGGGTGGCAAGGAGGAGGGGCAATGTAGAACTGGGAGGAGGACAAAATGTTCTACTTGTGCCAACACACTGTATATCCAATAATAAAAAACGACAGGAATGTAAAAATAAATAGGAATAATAGTAAGTTAGAACAGAGAGCATATTTGTGGAAGGAATAATAACAAAGAACATTCTCTTTGTGCTGTAGCATCTGACCAAAAGTTGCACAAATAAACCAATCTTTTTGAAGACTACTTAAGAGTATGAAGATTTGAATGAAAAATCAATAAGCTTGGTTGCAAGGACTCAGATCTGGATTAGAACCCTAGTACCATCACTTATTAGCTACATGAACTTGGGCAATTTACTTAGGTTTGCTGACCCTCAGTTTCCTCATCTGAAAATGGGAATAACAATAACCATAACTTATAATCATTAAGAAGTTTAAGCAAAATAATGTTTGTGAAACATTATTTTCAAAGTACACTACCAAGGTTTGCTAAATAGAGCTGTTATTATTGCTTCTGGCCATGCTCCAAAGCCAGGATAAGCTTGAGTAGTTAAGAGAAACATATTTCAAAAAGATCAGATTACATGGTTAAGGCCATTACAGAAATTCCTCCATTTTAAAGTAATAGGGATTTTCTTCCACTGTATATGGAAAAGTTAATAGGCAAGGAGGTTAAATGACTTTCCCATAGGAATTAATGGTAAAGAACTCTGGTTATCTGAACCCTAATTCAATATATCTTTTCTGCCAGAGAAGCATCCAGAATGTAATAGCTAATTGTTCTTTTTTTTATTAATTCTAGGATTGGATATACTTCACATAATCAGTCTCTAAAGACAAACAGAAGATCCCTCTCTTAATTTTTTTTCTATAAGATTAATTCATTTACTCTAGCAGCCAGCATTTTTTAAAGATCTAGGAAAAGAATATTTATATTGAGAGCTTTTTTTATTTAGTGTGAAAGCAACATATTATTCATTTTAATTGTGACCTCATCTCAGGACATTTTTGGTACATAATGCTCCCTTACTTATGTTTAGGCTTCACTTAAAACAGGTTCACCAGAAAATACAGAAGAACACTTTGTATCATTTTTCTGGAAGAGAACAGCAGAAATTATTTAGAAAAATATTGATAGGAAGCTTACGAATCTCTAAACAAAGGAGAAAAAGCTCAATCCAATGAAACTAAATACCTTAGAAATTTAATCAACACAGCTACAAATGCAATACCACAAATGTGGGTGGCACTGATGCAGAGAATTCAATTCTGTATTTCCTTCAAGAAAAGGAACAGTACATGTAAAGTGACATAGGAATAGTACAATATTTCGTTCCCATAACAGAAGATATACCTAACACATTACATTTAGAAACACCAGAACAATTTTCAATTTTCAACCACCCAAAAAGCTTTCATATAAAGCAACAGTTATTCTAGACTCTCCCACTGCTTGACAAAATTAATTTCAGAAAGGTCAACTTACCAACTCTATTACTTCTACATTTCGAACTGATGGGTCCGGCGCCACCTCTGGCCAATTAGATAATTCCAGGTACCCAGTAGCTTTAGTGTTGAGAGTATGAGATAAAGTGCCAAGCTGGAAATGATCCCTATCTAATAAAATAGGGGAAAATATGAAATAAACAATATGAGCTGTATATAACAGAGAACAATTCTAATCAGAGCTCAAGGTAATTGGCATATTACCTCAAATGTCAAGGAATAAATATAAACTAGGAAGCTCTTCATAGGTCAAAAAACTGATTTCAGTCCATAGATTACAATAATCTCCCCCATAATGGTCAATAAAAAAGCTAATCAGTCAGTGTGTTTAGAGGTGTTGCTCTGAAATGTAGCTTCTCTAAAAATTACTTTACTGTGAATATTAAGAATGACAGCACAGTTAAACAATCCATATACATGTCTTAGCACAAACACAGCCAGAATTTTAATAGTTTTTCTACAAAACTGAGCTGCTTTTTATTACTTTGCAACAATTAAATAAGAAACAATACAAAAACCAAGGTATATAATCATTTGATTCCAACTGCAATGACTACTTTTAAACTAGTAAGATAATTACTCTTTAAATAGATGGGAAAACAAGTTAACTTCCATCTTTGAAAAACAAACTCAGATATAAAGGGATATTTTTATGAAATAATTCTTCCTAAAAAAGTTTGTTAATTTATAAAAAATATTTAATTAACAACTCAATACAAATTGTATTTCTTATTAAATAAAGCTATTTAAAATAGAAATGAAGCCAATGTCAAGAAGAACAAACCTTTATCTTTTGTTCACCTAACTGTTTAATAAAAATAAAATTAAAATCAGAAGATTGAAATTATTTAGGTAAATAAAAACATAAACTTTAATATAAAGGTTGTCTGGAGAACAGATGAATGAGTAAAAAGCACATGCTCCACTCTTCTTTTATATTTATACATACTAACCATTTATATTTTCTAAGAGATAAATTTTAAACACATTATAAATGGAACATATTGTCATAACTGTTAAGATAACACATATTTTGCAGTTATATTCAGATAATAATACCTTTAAAAGGAGACTCAAGCAGTGGTGCAGGTTTTTGTGCTAGGAATATTTTTTTGGCATATTTACTTAAAGCTCCACTCTTCTCATTCGGAACAATAAGCTGCCTAATAAATCTTGTACGGTCTCTGATGTCGTAGTTTTGATCATACTTGCCGAGATTTAATATGTACTGGGTAAGCAATTTTGTCTGTTGGAAAAAAAACAACAAGATGAGAATACAGTTATTTATGATTATTGATAACTCTGGATAAACATATTTAAAGAGGTAATAAAAATGAATGGTTATGTCAAACAAACGTTGTTCCATAGGGAATATGTATTTCTAACGCTGCAAATGGAATTTTGAAGCCAAAGCACATGTCCTCTTCAGTATTGGGGAGGTGAATGCTGAGTACTGAGAAGCAGCCATGTGCTAGATTATTAAACTGCTGAAGTGGAAAGAAAGGCATCATTAAAAAAATAATCATATATGGCAAACCTGCTGAAGGTTCTACGTGAGAATAATGAATGTGGAAATACAACTAAAAACATGGCACTCAAAACTTAATCGGAAAAATATGCAGGACATCAAAACATCAGAGAGTATTAGAGGGCTGGCAAACCACTTCTCCTGAGGTGTGTTTTATGAAGAGATACTGTCCCTGGCATAAGCAGTGTCTGCACTCTGACTGCACTCAGTTACTTTACCCTGAATTATGAGCCATTAAAGCAGACACATGAATCACTGAACTGGATTACTGCAAATTATTTGCAGTGCATTTAGCTGTTACTTTTTCATAAAGCAAGCTGCTGATGCCCTCTAAAAACTAGGATAAAAGACTCCTTCCATTTTTTCTCCCCATGCTGCTTATAGCCTCTAGCAATATTGGTCATTTATTTATTTACGTAAGGGAACAACTTATTATAGTAGCTTTTACACCATAATAAGATTTCTTAAGTCAATTTTCGAATGTACTACATTAACATATATTGAGATAATTTTAATAATTAAACCAAAATTGAAATGTTAACAAATAGGTTTGTATTTTAAATTCTAGTTAGTTTATCGAAAAAGCACAGTTTTAATTTACAAGGTTACACACATACAATTATAACTAAAATTAAATGGGATTCACAATACCTGGGAAAAAATAAATACATTTGGCCATTTTATAGATATTAGAAATGGATAAAAAAATAAAATCAATCAAGTCAGGCAGAGCTAAAGACAATTCTAGAACAGTAAGTCAAAGTACAGGAATGGTGTGATATATTCTTTTACAATAATAATTGGTTAAGATAATTGATTTGGATAGAAGCAACCTTCCTTCAGTGAGAATGTATTTTAAATGCATTGGCCTAATTTTAATAAAGGAGAACAATAAAAAAAATGCAAGTGAAAATGTTAATAGAGAGCTCTTCTGAATTTGGTTACCAACAACTGCTATTCACTAACTACTGGACTATGTTGGTTCAACTACCAATAATAATAATTCTATGATTCATTTTTAAAGACAATTAATAAAATATTCACCAAGTGAGAAATACAGCTAAAAAGAAATGTGGTACACTGGACTGTGTAATTAACTTGCTGTGATAACCTGACCATTAGTTTTCTTCAAGGCAGGGTAAGGATTTACAACTAAGTTAACTCAAATGTCAATCTGAGTGTTGAAATTTAGAATATGCAACTAAAATCAGGGAAAGAAACTAAGTCTGTTCATTGAAATGATTTTTTTTTAGCTAGTAGAGGGATAACATTTTGCTTACATTTTCAATGCCTCAAATTAATTTTTAGGAAATAAAATTATTTCAATGTTAGCAGTCACAATTGAGAGTGAATAAGAGGGAATTTTAAGTGATTTTATATGATTTTAAAAATTGTATTTACTGACTATAAAACTTGTTTTATTATACTGGTGGGCTTGTAAAGCAGTTCTATTAAAATATATCTTTAAAAAATTTTGTTTTACAAGATGAAAACATACTCATGTATAACGATGCATTGAAAACAGAAGCAAAATAACTATTCACTACATATTCATATACTTGAATCAGCTTCTTAGCTGTATCTTCCTCCAAGACCAAGCCATTGGTATTTCTCTGACAAATGTATTTTCGTATGGTCATGTTATTTTGAAGGTTTTTTTAAAAAATAAGATTGCCAGAAATCTTCTTCAAAACTGAATTTCATTATCAGTAATTATGAAATTGTTGACATTTTCAACTTACTCTTTTCTATAGACCATAATATTTTAATGGAGAAAAACTTTCCTTATGGTACTGAACCATCTGGTAAACACAGAAAAATTCTGTTGAATGAAGGACAGTCTCAATGCTTTCTTTTATGCTGAAATTTTAAACATTTCAAGCCTAGATACTGGATTTTTTCCCCTTCCATTCTATGAAACTTTTGATACTGATCTTTATGAGACAAAACTTTTAAATAATTTCTATGCTATTTTTAAATGTTTCACTGAATTTAGTTACTACAAAATTAAAAATTAATTGCCTTCTCAATTTCATTTCATTCTAATACACAATACAAACTTATCCAATTAAAAATAGGAGGTCCATCAAAAAAGTCTTCACAAAAAAATGGTTGAGATACTGAAAATGCCAGAACATATGAAATAAATCTTGAACTCTAGTCTTCCTGTTTCCAAGAATTGCTACTTGTGAAAAATTTCAAAAACACAAGGTTTTGGCACTCTATGTGGTGACTACTTAGAGATTTGCAAATAATTTTGAAACAAACATAACCAATATATGTTTCATTTAATTCTTTCCAACCTCCTCTCTACTCCCAGACAAAAAAAAAAAGCTAATATAGGACACTTCAGTTATTTTATAAAGAAGTTCTTCACAATATCTTATCTCTAAAATCCCACTGGTAATATGCAGAGCTGTGTACAAGAGTGCACACTATCATGCTGAAGTATGTTTGTTTCTTCAATTACAAGAATCTGTAGCTCAGTTAAACTATACATATCAACTATCAGTAAAAGTAACCATTACAGTTTTATTTTAATTGGTAGAACAAGCATTTTGTTTGTATGCACCACAGCTAATTTCTAAAATATTTCTGCTCCAGTTTTCCTAATAAGAATGTGACAACATCCTTTTGGCAAAAAAGAATAATTTTATCTTCTGTATTGGACTTTCAAATTTACAATGGCATTTATAGCATTTTTGGCAGAATAAACTTCCAAACGCTTTGATTCCATTACAGCACTGACAGAACAAACACACAATAAAGCTTTGAGAGAAAAAAGTCAAACTATTATTGGAATGAACTGATTTTCTTTTTGACAACCAGCACTGGCTAGGTCCTCTCTCTGCTAATGGAGCAATTCATTAACAGTTATCACTTTATTTTTCATATGTGCAAAAGGACATTTGGAATAAAAAGTGAACAAAATTAATTTGAAAAAAGTTATTTGATCCAAATGAGACCATCTATCACAGAGAGATATGTAAACATTTTCTGCAACTGTATAAATTTGATTGTCATCTTAAGGCACAATCTTCTTAAAGTAACTTCTAACTTTTAAAACAGATCCTGATGCTTTGTTAGCAGATATGTCATGTATTCTGGTTGTGTGGTCAGTCTTGTCACTACAACTCTCATGGTGGACGGTAAATGTTGATAAACATTCTGTGCATGTTAGGTACTGAAAAATAAATTCAGTACTTCATTCTTAATTAAATATAACTTCCATTTTTAAGAACTGATTGCTGCTAGGTTTATAACAAAATAAAAAAATAACTGTTAAATAATAAAATAGGTTTTAGATTTACACTACACAATAAATGACAAAACTACCATAGCGAAAGTGCTCTGACACTGTCTTTAATGATCTATATAACAGGATAGTTCTGTCTCTATCTCCTGAACATATTTCACCTACAACCAACCTCTAACTCCCCATGTTTTCCTCTGACACCATCCACTGATAGCTGGGAGCTTTATGCTTCACACAGGCCATGGCACAACTGCTGGTATATCAAGATGCCACAGATGATACACTTAAACACTTATCTCACCACCACTGGAAAAGAGGACTTAGCTTTTCCTACCTGCCTTGTGAGGGCACATTTCATTTTATCAGTACACTCCTTAAATACTGCTCTAAAAGGGAGAAGTTAGTTATGTTGCACCTCAAAAAGGCTGGATAAATAAATCCAAATTCTTTATGATTTAAATGTTTCATATAAAAATAAAATCTCTGTTCACTGCATTTGTGTCTTCTATGGCATTAGACAAAACCATGACAAAGGTTAGAGGGCATCATAGAGGTGTACAAACTTACTCTGTCTTATTTTAATGCAACTGTTTATGATACTACTTCATAACAAATGAAAAATTTGGGACAAATTCTAAACTGCATGAAACAGTGAGACAACAGACAAGTTAGATCTGCCCTGGGTAACAGTTCCAAAGAAAGTAGAAGACTAGTCAAGTAAACAATCAAGGCATTTTAATATGACCAAAGGCTCAATCCAAAACCAGAAGGGACATTAAACAGCACTTTCAAATAGGTTTTACTCATAAAATTATACAAGACAAGCAAGGAGAATAATATCCTGTACCCTCAAATAACAGAAATATTCAATATCTTATATATAGCTATTTATTAAATTTTGATTTCAGATTAATTTTCCTGCTCACACTGAAGTGATCATTACTGTTACCAACTAATTGCTAATGCTATCTAGACAATATTAATACCAATTATAGTCTCTTTAGATTGACTCTAAGTTACTGTGACATAAAAAAAATCAATTTTGGGGAATGCTGTATAAAAATTAAGGAATTCATTATTTTAAAAAGCTCAAAATACGGACACATCATACTTTCACCTAAATACCCTGACAAGTAATAAACTTCCATTTGATCAAATAATAACTTTCTTCAAATATTTAATATGTCAACACAAAATAATAAAGCTCTCTTAAAATACAGTCCTAAAATCAGCTTAGATAAAATACTAGTTTAAGGAATATAAAAAAGTACACAGAATTCAGCATTTAGCATAGCAAAGATTAGTATGAGTTCCACGTCGTTGTTACTTTTAAAAAGAAGGATATCAGCAATTGTTATTTGGTAAAAGAAGGAAAGCTACACAGAATGTTTAACCTACATAAAAGGCAAAGCTAAGCAGTATTAGTTTTCAGTTAATCAATTTCATCATTTCATGACTAAAT